ACTTGTACCGTTGATTGCATGATAATGTCATAGCATGACATTTTCCATGAATTCAATTAGAAATTCATCAAACATCTGAACTTTGAATGCTGCTATAACTTACTGTAATAAACGAATAGCTGAAGTTTGACTTATTAGATGATGGTATATTTCTACCGTTTTTAACTTTCCAGTTCCTACATCTAATATTTCATTAGTGCCCTTAAAACATGTAATATAGAACACATAATACAACTTCGCAAGTTTTCAGTCACTATTACTTTCTCAAAAATTAAGAAAATGTCCAAATATATATCATTCATTCTTGTAGCATACAACTTTGAGAAAACCTGCAGAAGTTTTTAATTGCATTTGCAATTTTATTGTCAAAGCTAAATAAATATTACTGTATTTGAAATTATAGATGACAGTCGTTGGCAGACGATAGTACGTAGCAGTAATGGACCATTGACAGAGTATTCTGTATCATATCAAAATTTACTCCCATCTACGTCGTATTTATTTAGAGTAATATCATACAATCGTTATGGAATTAGTTATCCAGCATATTCCACAGAAACAGTAAGTAAGATTGCCGTATTTACATTTTTGCAAATACTTTTAAGCATTAAATATTAATGATGATCTTATATTTTTCTTCTTCTTTTTTTTTTAGATTCTAACTCCATCAAAACTATATCTTGAATATGCATATTTACAACATAAGCCATTTTACAGACAAACTTGGTTTATGGTCACTTTAGCTGCTGCATCAATTATAATTATTATAATGGTCATAGCAGTGCTATGCGTAAAAAGTAAAAGCTACAAATATAAACGTAAGTCGTAATAAATACATTCTGATACAAAGTATATAGGTTTGTGTATATATATATATAATAATAAGCAATTGTTTTAGAAGAAGCACAAAAGACACTTGAGGAATCTATGGCTATGGATACGGATGACAGGCAAGAGTCTGATTTGGAGCTTTATAGATCAAGACAGGGTGGTGGTGGTGCTATGAATATAGCTAATGCTTGTGGTACACTAGGTAAACGAAATACTTTAGCGAGAAAATCTATGCATCCTCCTCCTCCTACGATGTTAGGAAAATCACCTCCTAGACCTTCGCCGGCTTCGGTTGCTTATCATAGTGATGAAGAAAGTCTAAAAGGGTATGATGAAAATCCTGACGACAGTAGCGTTACGGAAAAGCCTTCCGAAATTAGTTCAACGGATTCACAGGTAACTTTCTCTTCTTTCTTAATATAGATTCTATTTATATTCCTCAAAGTGTTTTATTATCTACATTTTGCATTATAGGGATCTGAAAGCGAGAATGAGAGTGTACAATCGGATCCACATTCCTTCGTTAATCATTATGCTAATGTTAATGATTCTCTGAGACAGTCCTGGAAACGTCAGAAACCAGTTAGAAATTATTCATCGTATACTGATTCTGAACCTGAAGGTAGTGCTGTTGTCAGTTTAAATGGGGGACAAATTATTATGAACAATATGGCAAGGTCGAGAGCACCATTACCTGGTTTCTCGTCGTTCGTATAATTTTGTTCGTAATAAAAAATTGAAGCTTTCGTTAAGTAGATAGGGTGCCGAATTATAGCAAAGTGACACTTATAATCGTTATGCAATCAAAGTAAAATAAATTGATGCTGAGCGAGAATTGATTTTAAAACACATGAATAAAATAATAGTTTAAAAAAAGAAAGTTTTAAATTGTTAAATATATGCAAGGAGAGACTAGCTGTTAAAATTTTGATCGAAGTAGAATAGAGAGAATTTTAATGGCTCAGCATTGAAATTGAAATATACAGAGTTAAAGACTTATGTTGGAACACGACTTATGTTGTAACGAGTGTTTCACGCATACTGATATAATAACTTCGTATAATAATTTTAATATGCTTTTGGCACCATCCTATTGTGATATATTGAAATACATATTATTTATAATTTTAGGTAAAGTCAAAATGTGTATAATAAGTATTTTTTACTTTTATTAAGTGAAGTTGAAACAAAATATTGTATGGATCTCGAATAATGTAATGCTTGCGCATTTTTTTAATTGTAAAAAAGAAAGTTTCTCAGAACATCCTGTTAATATGACGTACTAATGAAATAGAATAACATCATCAATAATAATGGAAAACAATATCGTAACGAAAACTGCCAGAGACAACTACATAATAAACTTAAGAAACAAAATAATATTTTAATACTACATTTAATATGATAAAGACGATTAAATTATAATCCATTAAAACATGATGTAATTAACTATCACCGAAAATACTAATCACAATGTCACTCATAAATTTTTTAAATTCACTTAATTCACACTTTCATTTTGTGCTACAAAATGAAAATTGTATGTATGATATAATGACATTGATTTAAATGTATAAACAGTTCACAATCAGGCCTATCATATCAATTTGAAATGATCTTCATAGACTAAAGGCGAGTCTAATAATGTTATTGTACTGATTATACAAATGTTTATGTAAAATGCGACTGCGTGCATTTTTATCTCTAAGAAACTTTGTTTTTAATATTATTATGTATAATGTATATAAAATTTATATAAATTACGAGAAACAACAAATACTGATACACTTGTACATTTAGTGCACAGCTTAGACAACATTAAATGAAATTTAATGCTAAATAGTCTTTGAACAACATATATTTATCTTCTTTGAATATATATAAGGATGTAGATAAATGATATATATATATATATATATATCATATATATATATCATATATATATATCATATATATATATCATATATATCATATATATATCATTTATTTTCATCCTTCTTTTCAAAACATAGTATGAAAAAGAAAAATACGATTTTAATGCATATAAAGAACACATCTATTTAATTCATCAAAATATCACAAATTCATTTGTAGTATATAATATTACATTTACAGTATTGTAAAACATTATCATACACAGACTTATTCAATTTAGGACAGTAATCTTCTTACCATAATGCATTTATTCTATATAAGTAAAAAATATTTCAGACTGATATTGATGCATGAAATGTTTTTCTTTGCTTAATACTTAATTTTGTAATGAAAAAGATCATAGAAATGATATAAGCAAAACATTAAGAAATCGAAAAAAATATAACAAATTTTTAGATTTAGCGTATATTTATCGATAATATACGCTAAAATCTAGAAACTCATCGGAAATGTAAAAAAACATGATGTAACATGAATGAAAATGATTGAACAGTTTAATTATAGCAGCTATAATTCTATTACAATTCTATTTAAAAGAATAATTATTAATTGCATTTGATTCATAAACTTATATATTTATTAGTTAATTTCAATTCAGCCATAATATCAATATAAATTTAAAAATCGTAATTAATATCTGTCATGAACTAGGTAGCAAGTTATTTGATAAATATTTACTTTTAAAAACTTAACATTTTTCACTGCTATGTTAAAAAACTTGCTTTCTAGTTTCTATAGCATAATATTGTTCATAAACATTGTATCATAAACAGTTATTCTTCTCAGACAAGAAGATATAATTGTTTCTACAACACTGCCAATAAAAATTAATTCAAGAATAAAATTAAATTGTATGTAACAAATTGAAACATCGCGTCTGAAATTATACATTACTTGTACAAGATATCCTAAGTACATGTTAATCTTTTAATAAAATTTATATAATTTTATGCACGCTACTTTTTTTTTGTAATTTTGATCAACATTTTTGCAAAGTTTTGAAATATTTTTGAAACAATTGAATCTATGTGTTCCTGCAAATAAATAACAAATATGTTTTAACAAGAGATTTATTTATACAAAATGTTTTTCACAAGCTTCATACCATTTTTTAAGTTTTGGTGGATATTTCTTTGAAAAAAATTGTTTAATTGTACACCATGCAGCAACATCTGCTATATCAAGAACTTTTTTATCTGACCAATTTAACTTATCTGCTATTAATGACAATATTTCTTGTTTTTTATTTGTTGATTCTTCAAAATGTAAAGAATAACACAGATCTAATATCAAGTCAGTTGTATTTACCTTCTCTGTACAAGCAAAACTTTCATAATTATGCGTATTTATTAATCTACTTAAATATCGTAGAAAATTCGTTTCACCAATTATATAGTAACTATGTAAACCAGATATAAGTTCCAGGTCCTCAACTAAAAATAAAATTCTCTATAAATACACATCTCTCACTACTTAAGTACTTTCATAAATATAACTTATTTTACCATCTTTCCAAATCAATGACAGATTAATAACATTATTCTTGGAAGAACTTGTAATTGATTCATAATTAATAGACCCTCCTTCGTTCACACTTGAATGAACATAAGTTTGCACTTTAATATCAGTATCTTTCCACAACTTTTGTAACGCTGATATAAAATAAGGTGGCCTTTTAGGATTCACATTTATAATAAGATTCACATTAATTGGCACCTATAAAAGTCAATGTTAATAAAATTTTTACGTGAACTTTTCATTTGAAAAATTAAAAATTTTATTTCAAAATTAAAAATATCACCTGACTCTTATTAATTATAGAACTTTTATCAACTACTGCAGCTTGATTTGTTTGTCTCAGAAATCCAGAAAGCGTTGCTACTTGTTTCTTTAGTTCTGCAAGTTGTGCCAGTATCTTTTCTTGTCTTGCTTCTAATTCATTGTATTCTGGTAGTGGACTCTGAAATAAAATCTTACTTTAAAGTACATTTGATATTATGTACATAAAGATTACTATAACATAAATTTTATTAAAGAGATTGAATTAACTGGATACATAAGTTTTGAAATAAAAGTAGAGTTATTCGATACCACTACATTTAAACATCATGAGTAATAAAATAAATTTTTTTCTATTACCTAAACACTGTCAAAGTTGCCTTTATATAGAACATTATTATTATAATTATTAATCGATCACAATCTATACCTCACAATTTATTACATGGTTATGACAATACCAATTTATCACAAAATATATTTTAGATTTCATTTCAAGTTAAAAAAAAAATCAGCAACACTCAAGACAAACATATATTTACTATTGCCACTTTTGGGAAAAAATGTTTAAAAGCACAGGGTTATGGACAATAGTTTTGATAGTTGATCACCAACACTGTTGATTAATGCCCAGTATATACAAAGTACATACATCTTTTTACTGGGTTAGGTTTTACATGTGTTTGGTTATACAACTGTACTTTGTAGCTTTCAGTGCAGTTCTAATTTAGTAAGCTTGCCCTTCTATACTAATTATCAGCGCATTCCCGCTTATCCTTCGAACGTACTGAATTTTTCATCTACCATAGACGCGTAAGGTCCTGTTAGATGAAAAATTGGAGGGGCAAGCATCGATCAAGCCTGTAGAACCATATTCCCGGTCGATCGTGATTAGTGCTTGTGGAAATTTTGGGAGGAGTCATGCACAACAAGCTCGAGACAGAAGAAACACTCGTAGCTACCATGCTTAATAAACGCGTGAGTAAACCATTCATTCCAGTGAAATAGTAACGTTCTCTTTCACGTTGGCAGGATAACAGAAATGATGAAAACCTTTAAAAAGCTGATAACCTGGTCAGTGATATCAGGCACGATCTTGTTCTCGGCTACCGTATGGTCGTCTGTTGATCGTTCTTCATGAATATTTCGCATTTCGTACATCGTTTTTCTATGATGGAACGTTCGTGGCAGGGAGATAATCGGCTTTAACGTATACATCGTCATTTCGTTTCGCATTTCGCTCGCCGTACCGTGATTAATCCGTTAAAAAAACCGCCGGATCGTATTCACATTTGATCGTTACACTCTCGTTCGTTTTTCGTATTTCTCGATTTTCGCTTGACGGCCATTTTTCTTTAATTCCCCCTCTCCCTCGCCCGCGACCGTTGTGCTTTCAATAGCTGGCGCTAATGCTTCCCAACTGCTGACATCCGTTTCAAGATGGCGCCATAATTTTTACCAAAATTACATCATATGAGATTTTACGTTTTACTTCGACTGATATATATTTTCTACGTTTTTACGCTATTAAAAATTATTTCTTCTTTATTTTTTATTTTTTTTAGGTAACTAATTACAGTTAGATTGCTTCTTTATTCTAGTCTAGAAATCAATTTCGAGAGTACGTTTGTATATGTAATATATACACGACATTGGTTCAGTAATATATTTTTAACAAATATTACTCTTGTAAGAAAATTTCGATTTTATCATTTTATAATTTTATCATTTATAAAAGTATATTCAGCACACGATTAATTACAGTATTGCTACAATACATGTGTGTATTTGATTGATAACTCTATCAACTTTTTCTAATTGTTAAGTACACAAAGAAATATAACGTTCATACAAGATTTTTCATTTTCAACAAAGTGCATTTTTACCCTTGAGGTTTATGATAGAAACGTCTTATCGACAATAAAGTTTTGATCGAAAAAAAACAATTATGCGAGATCCATTTAAACTTGACAGAATTTTAGTTTCAATTAGGAAGATGTCGCGTCCGTCGCTAATTTTTTTTTTTAATTAATTGACAATTGTTGTTAATTAAATTACACGGATAAATATGAGAAAAATTTTTTCTTTCATATTAACAATATTAATTTTTAATTAGTATGATACTACGAGCTAAAAAGAACGTATACCGACTAAACGGCACACAATTTGGAATTATAGTGGTGTCCTCTGTCGAAGCTTCTGCATAACTAAGGTTAGATTTGCTCTCTTGCGGGTAACAGCGAATTCGTTCGATCGTTAATGCAATCGTTAACTGCACGATTTGGCCGAAATAAAAAGCGTGGTGGATTAAAATAAAAGTAATTTGTGAAAAACAGTGTAAACAAGCGAGGTGGAGAAAGCATATTTGTCGGAAGTACGGTTAGAATTGCGTTCCTCTGACCGCGCATGTCGCCACCTATTGTTGATCTGACAGGCTCTTGTGTAGTTACGGTGAAAGCGATTGGATCTCCTGTACGTTTTGTGAGAAATTAAAAAGCAATCAATTAGTTTCCCTGCTGCATGAATCTCATTGAAACTCAGTCGAGAGAGATGCGTCGAGCAACAGATTGTTTTGAGTAGGGAGAAGGAGAATTTCATCAGAGATTTTTGTCTACTTTTCGAGTAGAAGCGTTCGAGGCCAGACATGGCGGCTATTTGATGAACCAATTGCAGCAGCGCTCTCTTAAAAGATTAGATATTGTAAATTCCCCTTACATTCGCGTCAGTGAATGATTCTGTACTTATTTTGGCCGTTACTAATAGTAATACAAGTTGTTATAATTACGGAAAGGTGATTGTCGCTCGTCGACAAGAAACTAGAAGCCACGCAAGATCGTACCGAAACGTTGATCATGAAACAATTGTGTTTGGTCACGTGACCATAGCCGAAAAATGGCGCAAAGATCAGAGTACAAACATGAGTTCCATTTTATTGCTACGGTGTCATTTGTATTTGTTTACAAACGCGCGTTTTCATAAACCACGTGTTAAGTAAGTGCCATTTCGTTGACAGTGTGTAAGGAACAATGACGGGGAGAGGATCGAAGAGACGGGGCCGACCCCCCAAATCGGTGGTCATGGAAAGGCCCAAGAAGTTTCAATATCATCTTATGAAGAAGCCGAAATACTTACAAAACAAGGGCTCGGAAACACCGAATTCACAGCCAAGCACACCGACACCTTCGAGACCATCGTCACCGGTCGAAAGCGAGGAGAGCAGACGAAGTACGCGAATTCGAAAATCCCGTGGACCCAGAGACAGACACTCGCGAAAAGGTGGTCACTCAAGTTCCGGTGCATATCAACGCCGAGGTTACAATCCAAACGTCGACTATCACGATTCTGAATATCATTACGGATCAGATTTCGGAGACGAGTCTAGTGAAAAAAGTGAAGTTGAAGAAGATCTTCTACAAAGCGATGTGGATTCATCTGAAAGTATAGAAGAGCCTGACCCTTCCAGTGACAGTGACTTTTCTCTCTCCAGTTATAGCACTACTAGCGGCACACCCCGTAAAACATTGCTTAGCCAGCAAAGGCCACCAAGTCCAGAACCGTTGTGGCTTCAAAACAGAGAACTGCCACAGTTAAATTTACCTAAATCATCTGATGATCTATTAGTCCCTAGAGAACTTGTTATGCCATGTTTATCTATTTATGAAGTATTGAGACACTTTCGCACTCTAGTACGTCTTTCAGCCTTTAGATTCGAAGATTTTTGTGCCGCATTGATATGTGAGGATCAAACCAATTTGTTGGCCGAGATACATATTATGCTCATTAAAGCACTTCTTAGAGAAGAAGATTCTCAGCAAACGCACTTTGGTCCTCTGGATCAAAAAGACTCTGTCAATGTTAGCTTATATTTTGTGGATTCAATGACTTGGTCTGAAGCGTTACGCTCTTACGTAGAAAGTGACAAGTCGTTCGATCAGAATATTTTACACATTTTATCAACATGCGAATATCCTTTTACTTCTGTTGAAGATAGACTCAAGGTGCTACAATTTTTAACTGATCAATTTTTAATCACAAATCCAGTAAGAGAAGACCTGCTGCACGAAGGTACACTAAATGGTATTTCACATTGTTTTATTTCTTTACATATTTATTTTTTTTTTACATAATATGAAAGTATATAAATTATTATTTAATCAGCAGGAGAAATTTATATGTCCATGCTGAGATCTTAACTGTATTTGTTGTTTTGCAAATGTAGATGCTAAAAAACCTTTAAGTAATTGCATATTATGTGTATTAATTTATATATTAATTAACAATTAATAGATATTCATTGTCAATATGTACATTGAAATGTATATCTTAACCATTTTTTTATTAATTTCTATTTATATGTTTATTAATTTCTATTAATAATTTGTTATTTAAAGATATTTTTCTTTACATGTTATTGACACAGTTAAAAACATTCTTCTTTATATACGTTATAATAACATGCATCATAAATTTTGTCATTTTATAGGAAATATGCATTATGATGATCACTGTAGAGTGTGTCATCGTCTGGGAGATCTATTATGTTGTGAGACTTGTCCAGCAGTGTTTCACTTGGAATGTGTTGAACCTCCATTGGTAGATGTTCCTACTGAAGACTGGCAATGCAGTACATGCAAAGCTCACAAAGTTACAGGAGTTGCTGATTGTATACCTGATGTTGAAAAGAACGGTTCGTTATGTCGTCAAGAACATTTAGGATTTGATAGATATGGCAGAAAATATTGGTTTCTTGCAAGAAGAATTTTTGTGTAAGCATACTATATAAGTAAATAAAAATTCTCTAGAAATTTTGGATCGTATTAATAAAATTATTTATTGTAGTGAAAGTGAAGATGGAGAAGTTTGGTATTATAGCACATCTTTACAATTAGAAGAATTAATGCTTTGTTTAGATCGTAATGAAATGGAAGTTGCACTTTATAGAGAATTATCAGATTATAAGGATGAAATTGTAAGGCAAATGGAACTTACCGAACAGATTACTAATCAATACAAGGGTAATAAGAAATCATATCTAGAAGTAGAAAACAGTAAGTTTGCTTGTATTTTTAAATAATTTTATTTCTAATTTAAAGAAACAATATTTAATCAAATATTTTGTGTTTTACAGGTCTTATACAAAAATTACAGAAAGAACGCCAAGAGAAACAAGAAAAAGAAGAAGAAGAGAAGAAAGAAAAACAAAGACAACAAGCTGAGGAGATGGTACGCAGAATTCATGAAGGCACAGATTCTTTAGAAGAACAATTAGCAGCTGTCACTGAACAACAGGAAACAAAATCACCTGAAGAGTCAAATGTAAAAGAAAATACTCAAAAACTAAACACGGAAAATATGGAAACAGATAGCGTAGAAACTAATTTAACAGATGGAGTAAATAAAGATGTCAAAGCTAGTACATCATCATCATCATCTGAAGAAATTGACGAAGAAATGTTAGAAGGAGAAGAGGGTATTTCAAAAATTGGTAAAGATGGTAAGTCCTGCACATTGTAAGAATGTTATCGATATAATTTGATAAAATAACCGACATCTTTTTCATAGGAAAAAAACATACTATTGTAACGAGGTCAAAAACAGGGTCTTTACAACCTAGAACATTTAACATGGATGACTTAAAGAAACGTACTAGTGGACAGTTGTCAAAGGAAGAGTTAGAAAAACTAGACAAAAGTTTAAAAGAGGAAGGGGATGGTACTAGATTAACAAGACAAAAGGCTCATCAAATAGCTTCGGGTACCCATCTTTTTAAGTTGGGAATGGATAATAACTTCAAATCATATGTGAATCAATACAGTACTAATCCTATTGCTTTGAATAAGGCCCAACGTAACGAAGAACGTGATAAAAAAAGGCATTTGTCACATAAATTTTCTCTTACACAGGCTTCAGAATTTAAATGGGTAGGGAGTTTGACAGGAACACGAGCTCTTTTAGTGAGCACACTTCGTCAGACAATTCTTCAACTTGAAAGTAGCATTCAGTCATCATTTATGCATACTAATTGGCCTCTTTTGCGCAAACCTTGGACTACAGCAGTAGGTGCTTGTGTCAATCCGAGAGATTTTGCGCGTGCTCTTATTGTATTACAAGCGTGTATTAAATCGGTAGTGTTTGCTAGTGTATGGCACGATCAACTCGGACACGTGAAATTACAAAGAGTAACAGCTCTTGAACGAGAGGAGAAGAAACGTCAGGATAAGAAAGACAAAAAGGAAAGAGAAGATGAAGAAGAACGTAATCGTCTCTTTAACTTCGTCAAATATACATTAGGTTTGAAACATCAAGTCTGGAAACAAAAGGGAGAGGAATATCGAGTACACGGACAAGGCGGATGGCTGTGGGTATCTGCTAGTCGTCGCTACAAATGTTCTGATATGTTAAAGTTAGGTCTTCGAATAGGCCCGCAAAAAATAATGGTACAAATTAAAGATCAAGAAGGACTAAAAATATTGGCTTTAGATCCTCCTACGTATGACTTCCTGATAAAGGAATATTGTTCTTCTAAAAAAGAAGAGAATAATATAGACATTAAAATAAAAGAAGAAGACTCATCAATGGATATATCGGATGATACATGTATAAAACAAGAGTGTAAGGAAGAAGATATAAAAAAAGAATCGATTGAAGATAAACAAAGTAAAATGGAAGTAGATACAAAAAATACAGAAGAGAAAACAGTAATAAAAACAGAATCGCAATCGATTAAACAGGAAACAAAAATGAATTTATCATGTAAGTATAATGAAAAAAATATTTAATCATTTTTAGATACATACATTAAGCATATATGATATTAGTTAAATATTAATAACTTTATCTTTAGTTTTAGCTGGTATGAAAATCGAAAAAGTTTATACACCTATCAAAGAATTTGAAGAAATCGATATTACTAAGGCTCTAACGACTAACGGGAGGCTTCATTATCCAAAAATTGCTAAGAAGACTAGAATTGACGATTTTTTGGCACGTAGAACACATTTGAAACTTTTAGAAGAAAGGAGATTACTACAGAGCGTAAGTAATCATTCGTAAAGATAAGTAGAATGTAAGTAGTAAAATACCATTTAATATATTCTTTAAAATACAATTTTAGGAGAAATCGAAAGAGTTAAATCAATCGACAAATCAAAAAGCAGATGGAGATTCCGAAATTGATATAGAAAATAACGAAGAAAGTGATACAGATGGAGCTGACAATTCTTTACATAGTATTCTTACTGGAAAACAACCTAAAACTATATCTACATCAGCTAGAGAAATGCTGACTGTAATAGGAAAGCGTATTCAACACGTTAAAGCTCAATATGCCCAAATAATGAGATTTAGTAAAAATGGTAGTTGTTATTCGCGATATTGTAATATGACTGCACCTCCAGGAAAGATCACAACAACAACACAAAGTTTAACATCTACTTGTTATTCTCCTATATGCCTTCAAAAAGCAAGACTAAAACTCGATCTTATTGCGTTGTTAAGAAAAGCTAACGCTTTAAATAATAATCAATCAACATCGAATTTATCAGTTGGAGCAACTGCAGTACAATTACCACAAACAAGTTCAAAGGCAGATGGGAGTGATGAAGCTAGAGATGCAATTAGGAAGGATTTAGAATCCGCGGTAGCATCTGCAACTCATTGTACGGAAGAAACACCGGCTACGAATGTAATAAAAGACACTGCTTCACCGCTTACTAAAAAAATAAAAATTGAACTTAATGCTAGTAATGACACCAATTCAGGAAATGTAGTAACCACATCTAATAACATAGTTACTACCACAACAGTAACTACAACACAACAGACTATAAAAACAGTTGATGGCGTTGTACAAAGTATGCAGGAACGTACAAGTTCTCAAAATTCAGTTACGTTTTCATCCGAAATTAAAACAAGGTAATTGATTTTTGAATATGTGTGTTATTGAAATAATATTTTATTTTTGTTTTTTATAATGTTAACAGCACAGGACAAAAAACAATGATTATTAATCGAAGAGGAAGAACAGTTCAAAGAAGTACAATGGCTAAGGAATTAAATGCTGATGGCACAGAAAGAATATATTCTACTACTTCAACAGAAGGAAAAGTTTATTTGAAGAAAGTCGCAATCTCTTTGGCTGACAGAAAAAAGAAGCGCACCCCTGTTAAATATCCATTATGTTCTACATTTTGTACCAAAAATAAACATCGTAGTATATTGTTACTTCCACAACATGAATTACGTAAATTGGCTAGAGTTGGTGGACGAATACAAGTTCAAGGTTTTCATCATATGGCCAAGGTATTTCATTAACAACATTTCATTAACTTTACATTAATAAAAATAAAATATAACGTAATTTTATAATTTTAATTCATTTATTATAGGCGAATATGTCAGTATGGCCATATCCTTGCCCTAGACCATTATTTAAAACTTGTTGGTTATACAGAACAGTTGGCATAAAATCATTAGCTGCTGCTGCTCTTCAGTTAAGAATATTATGGGCATGTCTTCGTTGGGACGACATGGCTGCAAAACCATTATCTACGGACGGCAAACATCAAATTACAACTGATACAGAAATCATGTCATTAGAAATTCTTAAACATCGTCATGTTGGACAATTTTTAGATAAAACACAGTATTTACGTAGAAAAATTGTTATACCTTTGGAACTTCCAAAACAAGTCAGAGGTTTGTATTAAAAACTAGATTTTAAGAAATAGAAGATACAGTGATTATATTTTACAGAAGTTACATCTATAAGAAGTGGTCTACGAAAAAGAAAACGACCAGAATCACCACAAAGTACTGAACCACAAGTTACTGAAGAATGGGTTGATGAAGATAAATTAGAGTTATGGGAAATTAAACAGTATGGTGATAGGTACGTTAGAAAAAATAATTTATTCTGTGTGTTCTGTTCTATCTCTTTTCTGAACTTCTATTTATAATATTTCACCTCAAAAAAATTTTATATCCTTTCATTTCTTACAACCTGCTAAAATGTATGCATTCTTTCTAACAATTTTAGTGGAGTTGGGACGTTCTAGTATTAAATTCCTACTGTTTTTACCTTTACATTCATTCAGTTCTGACCTATCCTTATTTAACACCATTCAGTACTAACCCTCCACTTGGTGTGTGTCTTATTTAGGTTAGAGAAGGCTAATGCCCAGATTATTACTAGGAGTCGATCGGGACAACCACAATCGGCAGTTGGTTCTAACCGAAATGCAGGCTCCAATTCTGGTATGAGCGATCAACTTGTTAGTGGCAAAGCAACGCCTGAAGAGATTAAAGAAAAAATGGAGCAACAATTGCGTATGCAAAGAGCTGCACATCAACAAAAGAGAGCATTAGAAACTCTAAAAAGTCCAGCCAATTCTGGTTCACCTACACAAGTTGTGAAAGTTACAACTAACTCCACTCATGGTAAACTTAAATTTATTGATTTATTATCAAATAAAAAATATATCCTGCAATTATCACATAATATAGAAGTATTAATTTTTTCATAGATGGCACAGTTAAATTAGTTTCCAAAGTTGCAATACCAGCAAATCCAAACAGTGGAACAAAGTCGCAGCTGACTTCCCTTTTGACAACACCTGCGCAGAATAAACCTTTTATCAGTACAAAACGTATTTATATGGCAAAATGTAAATATTAAGTTAAATATATACATAAATGTAACATGATTTGATATTTATGTATATATATATAATATTATATATATATTATATATTAATTTTATATATATACACACATAATTATATATATATATATTAATTTTTTATATATATAATATTTTCTTTAAAATAGCATCTCTTGGAACAACAAAAGTTGTTCCTGGACCTACGAGCATTTTACCAAAAACTCAACAGGCTGGAAATCAACAATCTCTAATTAAAGTTTCTGGCCAAACAGGTACATTTATAATATTAATTATAATTTTATCAAAGTTTCAACAATGATGACAACTTTTTCCTTTAAACAGGTCCTATACAACAAATTCAGCAAAGAGTACAGATTATAAGAGGACCGGATGGGAAGCTCCAAGTTCGAGGTTTGATGCCTGGTCAACAGTTAGTTCAAATGCCAGACGGAAAGCTTCATGTGTTAAATAATAGTCAAGCAATTACTACACTTGCACAAACTGGTGGAACAACCACACAGGTAAAACTGTTAACAGATATATTAATGTATATTACATTATAACTATTGTGATAAAATATTCGAAATAAAAATTATTTATTAATCTTTTTTAAGGCAAAAACTGCTACAACATCAACTACAGCTAAAGTGGCCACAACAGCTAATTGTACAACTAAGAATAGTCCATCTAAAACAATAACAAATACAACGCAACAAGTACAAAGTGCTCAGCAACTACAAACTCAATCTCAACAAGCAATTCAACGTTCATCAGGAACCACTGTAACTATTGCTACTACACCAACACAACCAACAAAAAATGCTATTGTAGTAGCCAATACTGGACAAATTGTACAAAGTGCACAAGTATGTGTAAATAATTGATTTTATAAAATATTAATTATAGTCATATTCGGTATTAATAATATATTAATTAATAATATAGGTCATATCTTCCGGTGGGCAAGTTATTAGTGGAAATCAAATTGTAGTTACTAATGCTAATTTAGCTCAACAGCTTGCAACAGGTAAAGCTCAATTAACGACAATCGGTGGTCATCAAGTGGTTATTCGTAGTACCCCGACAGGCAATCAAATTGTTCATTTAAATTCTACAAACAGTGGTATTATTGTGAAAAATACCGTAACACCGACTAAACAAAGTATGTTAAACTTTTTTATATCTTAAAAATTAAACATTTCGATTAAAAAATTGGAAATAAAATTAAATACATAAATTTTTAAAATGTTTTAGTTCCTGTACTACAGTCTACTCAATCAACAGCCACAACTACAACAGGAGCACAATCAACTGATACAACAAATAATAGTATTAGCAGTAATACATCGACAAATGTGACATCGACTACTACTACAACTACAACAAATCAAACTTCCAATGCTCCGCCACCTGGAAGCGTAGAAGCATCTTTATTAGTCGGCCAACCACCTGGGACTGTTATTAAATGCGTTACTGCTCAAGTTATACAAACTATTCAAGGGCCTCGTATAGTTTTACAAGGTTTACAAGGTGCGGATTTTACTCCGCAGCAACTTGTAATGGTACAACAACAAGTTAAACAACAATTGCTTAAAGGTTCGATTATACATGTCATATGTATTTAATATCATCAGCATATTTATAATGTACATATTTTGTAGCCCAAGCTGCAACAGGAAAACAAGGAGTTTTAGGACCTACTAAAATATATTTAGCTGTTCAACCTGCACCTAGTAGCCAACAATCTATTCAGAGTTCTACAGCAGCAAATACTCCTGCTACACCAGCAACAAAACCACAAATTGCACAACAACCAGTTGTTTCGCCACCAGCAGCAACTGGTTTGTATTTATATGATTTTATATCTTTTGTATTGATTGAATTAAGTTTGTAATATTATTAATTAATAGAATGAATATTATTAATGAATAGAACCTCAAACGGGAACTGAAAGCATTCCAGAGCTTCCATCAACAGCAACTTCAAGTTCTCCTGAAAAACCGAAAGTAGTAGTTCAACAAGTTGCACAACCTAGTGTAACTACAGAAGAGGAATCGCAAAAAACGAATGTAGCTAATGGTCAGCAACCTTTGCAATCTTTAAAAGAAGGAAACGATTCCTCGGCTAACAAATTTATTTTAACGCCTGATTACATACAACAAAGTTAGTTATTAATTAATATTATCTATACTGCTTGATTCCAATAGGATTAGAAATATTCAAATGTTTCTATTTTTATTTCAAATATTCTAATAATTATTGTAAAAATCTGCAGCTATCAAGAATGCATTGAAACAAGAAAACCTTAATCCTGAAATAGAAGAAAAGCTGCTACAATTGCAACGATATCAAGAGAAACAGATGAAAGGGGGTGTTGAAAATTCAACAACTAATAATCAAACTCATACTACGCCTACGATTACGACTCCACGCGTTCCATCTCGTAAAAAACCAGCACCTTCTAACATTCCAACAACGACTTCATCTACAAACGTACAATCCATAACAAACGACAAAGATACAGATTGGGAAACACCCAGGAAGAAAATTGCATTAAAACAAGAAAATCGTGAAACTCCAAAGTAAATTTCTAAATATTAAGAATAAGTATTATAAAATAATGACAGTGCTTAATCGCTTCTTCTCTTTAATAACGTTATTTATTTTTTAGAGTACAAAAGGTTGAACCTCTAGACAATGAATCGACCCCACAGAAAAGAGCAGCAAAGCTAAAAGACAGTCAAGAACAACGGAGAAAGCAACAAGTTCATTCACGAATGCAGGTTTTGTTATTTAGACATAAAGAATTACTTAAAAAGGATATTTTAAAGAAAAGGGCACTACTTGAAAAAGAATTACAAATAGACATTCAGGTATTACACAAGTACATTTAGATATAAATTTTTTAAATAAGTACACAGTTCGTATAATGTTATTTTTATTTTTTGTTGAAATCGTAGAAAGATTTATCGGCAGAATTAGCTTCGAGAACCAAGGCTGAAAGGCACAAACAAGATGAGGTAAAAGTAGGAAGTGCGAAACGTAAAGCAAATGCTCAAATGGCTCAGCAAGTTAGTCCGCCTAATAGAGGTGGAAGGCCAAAAAAGTATAAAGCTCAAGGAAACAATACTACACCACCGGGTGCTTCAACTGCTGCCGCCACGAATAAAATCAAAAAAGAGAAGTTATATTGTTTATGCAGAACGCCATATGATGAAACTAAGTAAGGATTATAAAAACATTTTTTATTCGTAACATTTATTTAGTGATTATAAACTATTATGTTGATTTAGATTTTACGTGGGATGTGATCTTTGTAACAATTGGTTCCATGGAGATTGTGTTGGAATTACAGAAGAAATGTGTAAAACACTTTCAGAGTTTGTTTGTACAGAATGTAGACATGCAAGAGATACACAGGAATTATATTGTTTATGTAAACAGCCTTATGACGAATCTCAGTATGTAATGGTGTTAATTTATTTATTACATTAACTATCTATTTATTACATTAACTTATTCTGTATCAAAGTATCTGTTATTTTATTTTTTATGTCAATCTTATTTTAACATTCTTATTTCTGCAGATTTTATATTTGTTGCGACAAATGTCAAGATTGGTTCCATGGTCGATGCGTCGGTATTCTACAATCGGAAGCAGATAATATCGATGAATATGTTTGTCCAAATTGTCAACGAAACTCTTCTGTTAATTTTGCTAATATGAAAAATCTTAATGCAAAGGATCTCGATCTTTTGAAGAAATTAATTAAACAAATACAGGTAAGATATCAAATAATGGTAAAAATTGAATAATAACAATATTTTTTTATAATTATGGATACCAAAAATTTGAATATTTAGGCACATAAGAGCGCTTGGCCATTTATGGAACCAGTAGATCCAAATGAAGCACCAGATTATTATAAAGTTATAAAGGAACCGATGGGTAAGTGTTATTAAAATTTTATGTAATAATAATAATTGTTTAATTTTTGCTGAAGTTAAAACTCAATGTTAGAAAAAATATAATTTTCTTTATTGATATATTATTTCTATTAATTGTATTTGCAGATCTGCAAACTATAGAATTGAGGATAAATGACAGATCTTACAAGAAGTTAAGTGAATTTATTGGAGATATGACAAAGATATTTGACAATTGTCGTTATTATAATCCGAAGGAATCACCTTTCTTTAAATGTGCAGAATCCTTAGAAACTTATTTTGTTCACAAGATCAAAAGTTTGAGAGAAAAATTCTCTGAAGGAAAGTAAGCAATCAAATAAAGAAAAAACAGAAAAACTGTAACTATAAACGAGTGGAAGTGCTAAGCATCAAACATCATGGTTTAACTTGTGTAACAACAGAAATAATCTGTGCCAGTAGAAAAGAAACATTCGAAGTAGCCATAAGTATATAAGAGTAGTTTGTATAAGTTCACTATTTATTAGAATTGTGTGAACATTTCATTTGCTTTCTCAAAAAACAAGTTCTATTTGAATCGTACAATGAATTTTGAACCGAAACTTGTAACATTTTATCTTTAAAAATGTCTTGTTTAGGTACAGTAACATTAACAATTATTCAACGAGTTTCTTCATTACATCAAAAGCATCATTTATTGTAAGACTATACAGCACGTTTAAATTAGAAATAATATTGATATATTATATATATAATTATATATAATATATTATTTATAATTTTCATTGTTTATTTATATATGACAATAAAATATTAGTTTCTTAAATGGTGCTTGTATACATTTCTTTAACAAAATGAAATGGTAAATATTTAATGTAGAAACGTTAGGAAGGTATTAACTCAAATGTGAATCAGAAAATTCAAACACTATAAAATAAGTAATAATGTATATTAACTAAAATGTGCAATACATGTTTATTTATTGTATTTTGTATATGAAAAAAATGAAAAAAGCTTTTTATTGATTATCATAAGTTGTGGTTCAGAATTCATATACTCTTCACAAGCGTCATTATTTATGTACACTTATCAAATACGTGTAATAATGCATGTTACAAGAATAATTATAAATATATCAAATCAGTGCCACTGAGCGTTTAGAATGGTGAATTTTTAGTAACCCAATGCAATGTGTTTTGCGAAATTAAAAAAAATAAGAAGAAAATGAAAAGTCATTAGAAAGTTCATTATCATTTAATAAAGAGGAAGAAAATGGTCCAATCGCTGTCATTGTTTCACCTAATAAAAAGTAAAACAAGTTTTCTCTCATCATAAACATAGTCAGCGCATAATAAATTGTACAAATTTGTTTATTGTGCTCACAAGTAATTATTATTATTATGTTGTTTTATCATATAAATTTTCTATAAAATTGTTTATAAGTAACATTTACGATGTTAGTTGATAAGGAGTAAGCGGATGTCTGCTGTTGTATATATCTAAGTAGAAATGTCTATAAAAATAGACTTTAGTATCATCCTTCTCATGTGATGAGGATACAAGGAAACGAAGTCATTTAAATGCAAAAAAATTTAATGAATTTAATGAAAATATTGTTTATATTTTAGCTATTAAATAACCATTTGTGAAAATTATTAAACAATACTATATAGTATATGTACAAGTATGTTCAGTTTCTGTATTCTTATAGGATACGAAAAGGCAATATTATTTCATGAACATCTATCAAACAAGAAAAAAACAAATATATATATATATAATATATATATATACACACACACACGTGCATACATACTCATATAAAAAGAAACAAGAAAATGCTGTTTCTAAGATTTCACTAGTAAAATGAAAAGTGAAAGTACGTAATAAATACGTAATTCTTAAATGTTGGAGAACCCAAAAACTTTTATGAAATTAAATTACATACAGATATATTCTGTGAAGGTCTAAATAGTATTTCTACATGGAAATCTGTTCTCTGACATTAAGAATTAATGACTTCATATATGAACATTAACATGATGTTTTACAAGTTCAAGGTGCGTCTTGATGATCGTCAATCATTTGTTTAAATGAAAAAAAAGCAGATCGCTCAAAACAGGTTGTACATTTTTGCCAGGATGATGCTTGTACAGTATTTTTAATTCAAAGTTCATAAGACCTGGCACTGATCTGTTTTTTACCTTCGACTTTCGATTATAGTTACAGAATACATACAATTCGTTACTTTACCCAGATTTGCATCATATTAGCTTTATTATTAATTTATCGAGGCTCTTTTTTATGTCTATTATAATATAATTTGAAAGTGTGTCAGTATCTATAATTTAGATAAATGTTATAACTCAAATGTTATAAATTTTTATCTTTGTCTACCTAATTCTCGTATTCTGTCTTTAAAACTTTCTTTCCGTCTTTCTCTAAGTTACTTTGATTCATATATATATATCGCAAAAAGTTAAACAGAGATTTTGAGGAAAATTTTATTTTGAAAAATATGCCTCAATAGATTTACTCTTTGAGATCGAATTCTTTAACATTCTTCTGTTTTGCCTCAGAACATTATTTGATATTGTAAAGACTTATAAATGAAAATTAATAAGTATTAATAAGTATTCACAGTATGCACAGTATGCATTAATGAGAGCGGAATGTATGCCAATTGGAAGTATGTAATGCTGCTTATTAGATTTATTTATCTTCTGAGCAAACGGAAGAATAAAATTGTATCTGAAAGAGTTAATCTCCCAATATTTTTTTCCGAGATGCAGGAAAACTTGTAAAATCGTTGAATACTCTTAAAATTTTGAATACGTTAAAACAAATTTAATCAGAATATGATTATTTTGTCGCATATTCTTTTCTTATATAAGAGCGATATTTGGCGATGTATTGGGGTAAAAGTTTTTTCTGTAAAAAATTGTAGAAATACCTTAAGACATGTATTAGATATTAGTCGTGTAAGTTTTTGGCATGCTACTGAAGTGTAAAAACTGGGTGAAGAAATTGCAGCCATATACATTTTGCGCTGCTCTGTTTCACTTTGCCCGCTTATTAATCATGTAACAAGGTGTTTATTTCTATTAAGAAAAAAGCAACAAAGTGTGATTACATAACTATATTCATCTAATCTAATATTACTAGTTTATAATAAATATATTTGTACTAATTTTAATCATAAACTTTGTTGTTTTCATTGCACTATAAATATAAGTTAGAGGAAAGCATAGTATGTTAATTTACCTTTTTTAATTTGTAATTGCTTAAAAAATAATAAACTGCTGTATGACAGTAGCTTCATGAAACTTAAAAAAAGCATATTAATACCGTTTAGTAATTAATTTTTAGTTTTATCTGCAGAAAATAATAATTTTTGTATAAAGTGATAATATTACACACATGTAACTTTGAATTGCTTTAATACTAATATCATTATTACTATTTAGACTTTAATATTTTAAAGTTCAAGTGATACTATACAGACTATTTACATTCTTCTGTCATGGTTTGAAACAAAAGTAAAAATATGTCATTTATATGAATTACACATTTTTAAAACTTTCTTTCAAAAATACACATACATATAATATACATACATATAATAGGATTTCATAAATACTCTATATTAGTGACTTTATTTAATAAATACAAAAATTTCTTATAATATGTTGTACAAAAGTATTCTATATTTTGTTCAAAAAGGTGCAATATCTCGCCGTAAGTATGAAAAGTACAATAATTATATTACTGAAAAATAAAATATATTACGCTTACATTTCATATTTTATGTGTAATAAATAATATGTAGAACTTCATCATATGCCAAAGGCACCGTTACCTGGAGAACCTGCAAAACCATATACACTTACTGAAATACCTGGACCAAGGTCAGAAGCTCTTCTCAATGAATTTTCTAAAATTCAGGTTTATATTATTATCAGAAAATTCAAATTGTGTTGAGAAACACAATTACAATTATATAATTAAATACAATTATAAAATATTGCAGCAAGTAGACATTCAATATTTTGGAGATTACCAAAGATCTATTGGAAATTACTTGGCAGATATTGATGGAAATGTTTTCTTAGATATGTTTATGCAAGTGTCCACACTTACTCTTGGATATAATCATAGATCAATTCTTGGTGCATTATCTTGTGGAGGAAATCAAGTAAATATAATTGAAAATTATTATATCCACAAAAATCAGCTTGAAAGTATTAATATAACAAATTTTTAGAGAATAATAGCAAATAGGCCTGCATTGGGATTATTCCCTGGTTTAGAATGGCCATGTAAAATACAAGATACATTGCTTCAACCATGTGTAAGATACTTTTACTTAGCAAACTATATTAATTTCATTAATAAGAATAAATAATGAATTTATTAAATATAATTATATTTTATCAGGTAGCTCCAAAAGGATTACCATGTGTTTTTACAACCATGTGTGCTGCTTGTTCAACCGAGCATGCTATACAAATGGCATTCATAAAATATGCGGAAAGACGTCGACGTGGCAAAGATTTTACAGATGAAGAAAAAAAAAGTGCACCTTTTAATAAACCACCTGGCTGTCCCGAATTGTCTATCCTTTCCTTTGAAGGTATCTTAATATAACATCATAATATAACACTATAAATTAATGAAATTTATAAAATTAGGTGGATTTCATGGTAGAACGTTTGGTGCATTGGCACTATCACATTATAGATATATAACGAAAGTTGATATACCTTCTCTTCCATGGCCAATTGCACCTTATCCACATTATTTATATCCATTGGATCAATATGAAAAAGAAAATAAACAGGAAGATGTTCGGTGCTTGGAACAAGTAAACTTAATTATTACAAATCTTAAATTAATTTTATTGCTAGAAATTAATTAAAATACATCAAAGGTAGAGGAGTTAATAGAACAATATGAAAAGACAGTGCCAATTGCTGGTATCATAATCGAAGCAATACAATGTGAAGGAGGAGATAGACATGCTTCTCCAGATTTCTTTATACAGTTACAAGAGATTTGTAAAAAAGTAATTGGTTAATATGTTATTTAAATGTTTACAACATTATGTATAATATAAATATTAAAAAACATTGTACAAAATATAAATTTTACAGAAATCTATTCCTTTAATACTGGATGAAATACAAACAGGTGGTGGTGCAACTGGAAGAATATGGGCACATGAATATTTTGAATTAAATATTCCTCCTGATATTGTTACCTTTAGTTACAAAATGCAAACTAGTGGATTTTATCATTCCCCTGAATATATGTAACATATCTACTAAACATGATAAAATTTGAATAGAACACTGCATCTTTATAAATATAAAATATTTTTTCGTGTTATCCATTTAGGCCTAAACAATCATGTAGAGTTTTTAATGTATGGATGGGGGATCCAGTTCAAATTTTAATGTTAGACGCAGTATTACAAACCATTGAAGCAGAAGATTTATTAACTCATGTATGTTATGTCGGCAATTATTTGCTTTGTCAATTGAACACGTTACAACATGAATTTTCGGATATTATAAGTTCCGTACGAGGCAGAGGTTTTATTATTGCGTTTGACACACCAAGCAAAGACATGAGAAATAAATTAATGTATCTCTTACGTACTAAAGGTACTAAATTTTGATTATATACATTTGGCAATTTTTATATTTTACTGTCTTTGTAATAAATTTAAAATTACATTAGGTGTACAAGTGAGTGGCAATGGAACAAAAACAATTCGACTAAGACCATGTCTGATATTCGGAGAATATCATGCTGATATCTTTTTAGAAATTCTTCGTGATTGTTTGCAAGAACTTGCAGAGAGCTAATACACGTATTTGTAAATTATATTTTACTTACCGTTTATTGTATTATACATTTATTAAATATATATTTCAGTATAAAAATATACGCTTTATAATTGACAACGTATGTCACTATAGTTCGACAACGCATTAGCTTTCATTACATTATAATCAAGATTCAAATATCGCGGTCATAATCGCATTATCGATCAAGGACCAAAGTATAGCCTGTGTACAAAGGAGATCGATATCAGCATGGCGGTAAAGGAGCGGCTTTATTCAGCGTGATTGGGAATCAAGATTATTATGGCTCAGATTTTACATTACATAACGGGAAAGTGCATTTCCATCGAAGTGCATTTTTCGCGACGCTTAGTAGCGTCCTGAATGACTGTAAGAATAGAAGGAGAAACACGACGTTGAACTTGCCGTTGTGACTGGAGGAAAAAAAAGAAAGGAAACGAAAAGGGAAGGATTTGACATTACAATCGGCACTTGCATTCGAAGTCCTCGGCCCCGGCACGTTGAAACGTGTAAACAATCACCATGGCAAAGTACGACGATATTGCGTAACGCTAGCTTTATCTAATTATAGCAGCGTAGAAAGTGCATCTTTAATTCAGTGATAATGCTTTGTTTACTATACTATGCTCTGTAAACTCTGTTACTGTTACGCTTGATACATCGACTCATTTTTTGGCGGCATGTCCCTTTTTAAATCTTTAATTTTTGTCAAAGAGAATGCTGACTTTAAGTTAGTGTGAGTTCATGAATTATTAATAAAACGATTTTCATTTTATTCTCTTTTTTTTTATTCACACTCATAGCACTTTAGCGTTACTTCGCATCATTTGCCCTGAATTAATATATTTCTTTAATTAGAACTATAATTAATATATGTGTATTTTATGAACTAATTTATATCTGCTTGTAGTTTTATTGTTTTATTTTCTTTAGTGTAACAATTATGTAAATTATATTCTTCCTTGTACGTGTAAAGTAATGTATACAATGTATAAAAAAATATTTTCTTTTTTAAATTAGTTTTACAGTATATTATCTTATAATAAAATATATTTTGTTAATGTATATAGATATAAATAAATTATTTTCAGTAATTATAAATTTTGTTAAAGCAAACTTTTCCTTCTTCATTTTATGTGTTATTTTATATTTTGGATTTGTAGATTAATTAAAGTTGAAAATGCTTTTATTGCTAACTTATTAATTCAACTTCATGCGAAATAACATAAAATAAATTGGAAAAACCTGTTAAGTTTTTTTAAAAAGTTATTTCATCATAATGATGCAACGAGGTTTTATTCAGAGTATGACATTGTATGTAACAATGCTTTCAAAAAATGTGTTCTAATCTATAATCTTATCTCCTTTATTTTGTTATCGGTTATTGGTGCAGCTAATCAGTAATTTTTGTTCACAATTATTTACTTCATAGATTCATTCGTATATAAGCTTTAGAGCAAATTATAGACATTAATATTATGTTTATATTTTGTAAAAATGAAAGTTGATAAATTTTCAAAGTTGTGTATAGAACGGTTTTATCAGTTACTCCAGGGTAAGCTACTTCATTTATAAAAGAGAAATCATTTTATTTATATCTAATACGTATTTACAAATTATTACACAATTAATATTAAATAAATATATACTACTGCTTAATTCTGATATTTTTCTTTAGAGAGATGATGATAGTATTTGTTTATGACACTGCAAGGTGTTGTAAAGAAGATGATGATCCTGCAGAGGCAGTTATGTATTTTCATCCTGCATGGGTATCTCTTACTCAAAGATTAGCTCTAGCAGGACAATTAATGGCTGTTAATCAGTTTCTTTCATCATCATTTTCCAGTCCAAAATCAATCACATTGCAAGGAGGAAAGTTTGTGCTAAAGAAATTTGGACAGTACATACTTGTAAGTATATTGACCATAAATTTGGCTGTGTGATTTCGAAATTAATGTATATTATGATATATGAAAGAGGCTATATAATGTTACTTGATAATGATAGTTATCTATTAGAGTTGTTATCTCTAATTATCAATATGTTCTCAATGAATGAAAATGTGATTTTTTTCTCCTAATATATCGTGCTTAGTGTATATTAAACTGTTTATTATTTATAGTAAATTTTACTGTTTATTATTTTACAGGCAGTTGGAACTGATAGGAATATTCATGATTGGATTCTAGAGAGGCGTGCAAACACATTAGAGTCATTACTGAAATTTTTTCATTATGACTTAAATAAAATATTGGAATCATTTAACAATGACAGAAATAAGTTTACAGAAAAGCTTTATCAAATGTTTGAAACATATTTGCCAATACTTCAATATAGTGCCAATCTTTTCTCTAATATTCCTATCATTAAACTTCCAAAGGTAATTAATATAATATCAATTTTATTTTTTTTTTAATATAATAAATTATTTTTACTATATATATGATATAATATAACATGATATAATATATATTAATATGATATCTTTTTAGAGTGCTAGTAATATATTTTTAGAAGCAATTCAAGTTTTACAATATTGTCAAGAAACTAACGGTGTCATGGGTGGTGCACTTTTCTATAATAATAAGTAAGTTTATCGACAAATAAATTGTCCTTTCATTTGGTAAACTAAAAGTACTAATATTTCAGGGTAGTTGCAACTCAATTAAGTGCTGAATTGACCAAACAAATTGTTATAACTGATCCATATAGAATAAAGGTATATATTAAACTAAAATTAATAGTATATAATATTCATATAATATTGTTTCAAATGAAATTTTTAGGCTCCTGCAGAGAAAATATCAACAGAATTTCATTTACCTGTTGGAGTACAGTTATTGCGAGTGTATATAGAGCAAAAACAGTTTGCAAAACTTTCACAAGAAGCAAATAATGAACGGTATTATAGTTCTTATTTAGATTCTGTAACAAAGAAAATATTTCAAAGAAAGGTGAGTAATTTTTGACAATTTGCATTATGATGCAGTTATTCAATAATGAAACGGTTATACTTTTAGAACATGTCCAAGAATAGTAAAGAACTTCCTTTGTCCGGAATGAAACGTGATACTTCTCGCATTTTTACTGTACCTGAAGAAGGAGAATTAGATTCATCACAGTACAACGATAACAGTCACTACGTATCCTCCGTTCCACTTACAGCTTATAGTTCTCCAGTGAAACGTAAACAGGAAAGTAAAACAGACCGTCCTAAGTGTGTAAATCCTTTGACTCCTAGCGTTTGCTCTACGCCTTTAAAAGATATTAATAGAGTATTACATGGTAATGCTATGTTAATATGTAATACAAACGAAGATACAAATAATGAAGCAGAAGAGGAGAAAAAAGAAATAAAGACAACCGTAGATGATATCCCGGATGTCGTTAAGGAAGCACTTAGATGTAAACGTTTAAATAAATTAAGAAACGTCACTCCGAAAGAAAAATTAGTTAAACGAAGAGAATTTAATAAGAGAAGCTTAAGTATGCATGATTTAGAATCGTCTAATTTGTGCTCAAATCGAATATCAATAAGAACATATGGATTAGGATTATCACAGTTAAAAGAAAGTGTGTCTCCTGAAGCTTCTCCTCAAAAGAAGTCTTCGAATAAAAGGCAGTTTCATACGATTACCGATCCATGCTATCCTGTATTTCGATGCGATGGATTACCAGTATCTCAGTCTTTGTACGATCAGTATATATCATCGCACTACGAAGAACTTAAGGACGATCGAAATAATACAATTAATCGCAACGACTTTTTAACAAATTTGTCCAACGATTGCAATATGAAAAATGTAACGAACAACTGTGATACAGCGATCAGTGATAATTTAGAAAAATCAAGTAATTCTCGTGACATAAAAATAGATGGTAAAGTAAAACAAGAAACTTATCGTAGATCGATGAGTCTTCCATTGAAACCACTTAATATCACTGACAATGATGACAGACGAAAATCAGCATCGGAGTGCGGTAATGTGTATGATTTTCTTCAAAAGAAGAAATTGGATGGTCTACAGTTAACGCCTCTTATGTCTAAACTCAGTTTACTTGCTGACGAGAGAACTAGCGGTTTTTGTAGTAGGGAAACAACTCCCAGCGAATTTCGTGATTTATCTGGCTTTTCGACTGCAACGAATCAAATCATCAAGCAAAAATTGGAAGCAGTTAATAAAGAAACCGGTAGCGATGGTGAGGATGAATTGGAAGAAGATTGGGTAACTACTTCCAAGGATGAAGCCTCTTTCGAGAAAACGGAGTTATTTCTCTGCGGACATCACAATATGGTGCTGGTATTATTAATGGAAAATGGAACTGCCAATAATCCTGATCTTATACACTTTCTCGTAAGTATTTCTCGTAAATCTAATATAATTAATTTTTTTGATAATATATATTATAGTATATAATATACATTGTAATACATATTGTAGTGGCAGACTTGCATGAATACATTAGGAAAACTTGAAGCAAGACTACAACAATGTTTAGAGCCTTTGCCATCAAATGAAAATAAGGAATTATATAGTATATTAAATATTGATCCTCAATGGGATACAATAAATCGTTCTGGACTTTGGGGTGTTACTGAATTGGATATTGTTTCTTGCCTTCATGATAGGTTCACACATGCCAGTAATCTTACAGATATTATTGTCAGGTAATTACTTAAACATTAGATAATTTGTTTCACTTAGTATAATTTTGCACATGTCAGCTTGCTTCAGTAGATGATTTTGCTTGATTAAATTAATGCTACTGTCAAATATTTCCAAAAAAAGAGATTGTATTATAAATTTAGAATATATTTCGTTTTCATATATTGTGATACATTATGAAGCACTAATTAACATGGTAATTATTCTTAAAATGATAAAAAAATGAGTATATTTTATTAATTAACTAGAACGGAGGATACCGTTGTTTATGGTAACCAGTGTGGAAACGTAGAGGTATTTTATCAACAAGCAGTGGCTCCAAATACCTCTGGAGGACTTCCAACTCCTGCAGATTTAATGGGGATTGTGTCTCTTAAAGCAAAACGTAGACTGGAAAGAGACCATGGAATTGTATTGCTATAAATAATAATTATCTATAAATGCTTCCATCACAATTTCGTTCGGGATTGAATTATTTTACTTAATATTTTGTTCCTTTTTTTATATTTCATGGCATGCCAAATTAACAATAATGTACAACATTTTGTACGTATGTTATCTATGTATAGTAGTAGATACATTTTTCTGATATTTTTAATAATATTAAATAGAAACATTCTCTTTACCTTGTTACGTGATAATAGGTACAAGGGCATTAAAAATGAGAATGAAATCCTTCGTTTAGTAGTTAGCATGTAACAGTAGTTAAATTCTTATTGCTATAGCGACGATTTTGAAATAATCGTATACATATAAATATCACGTATACATCTTAACGTACATGTACATTTTTAGTATTATATTTATTTAAAACGTCCTGAGTGAGAAACAATAAGTTCAAATTTTCATATCTCTTTCCAAAATTAATAGGATGATTAAACATTCCATTAATTTGATCGACTAAGAAAATCGACTTTTACGATAAAAAAAAAAGTACTACATATTGATAAAATATTACCAAATTTTCTACACGTATTTTTGTAATAAAGATCGCTATTTGTAATAAAAAGCGCTATCGAGTATGATAATTTAAGAATTGGCTGTAATCGAAGAATTTTTATATTATTCACATGTACCAACCATACATACTAAACTGGTATTGCTATTTTCTCAATCACAAATGATATATTTTAGTACGAAACATTAAATGTTTTATTAAAAGCATTTGTTCGGTAATAAATTTATATTGAACAATATCTTAGGTTTTAATATAATAGTATAAAAAAGATAACATTCTAAATATTTCATCATTAAATTTTTTTCACATTATTAAACATAAATGATGTTGTGTAATAAAATTTGCAATTAAAAATTTATGTTATATAAATATAAATGTATAAACGTATAATATTTAAAGAGTAATTTCTATCGTGTATGGTTTTAAGAAAAGATAAAAATTCTTAAAAATTTTTTTAAAATTAAAATACAGCTTTAATAGCATAATAGAATAACTTCTTCAAATCCAAGCTTTCAATGTTAGGTAGAAAATAAAATGATTCTAGTATTATATTGCTATGTCCAAATTAAGTGATACTTAATTAAATAATTTACTTGTCTAAGTATTTAAACTAGATTATTATGAATAAAGGTTTTTATTGCAACAAGGCAATTAATTGTTGTTTATTGCTTAACTTTTTAATAATTCCATATTGTATAATGTAAATCAATTTATATTATATGTACTATAAATATAATTAGTTCTTTGTATATAAATATATGTAAGAAATGTCTGATAATTTATTTATACGATTTATAAATAGCAATATAATTCTTAAATTTGTTAGCATAAGTAGATGAGCAACTAACAACAATATTATTAAAAGAAAATGTATAACATACCAAGTCAATATATTAACAAAAGAGAATATTAATAAGATTAATGTAATTCCCAAGCCAGAAAATGAGCGATAAAAACTCAATAATAATTAAATAATATTATGATTTCATTATTTTCAATAGTATTTGTTAAATATTTAAATTAAATTTCTTTCGAAAACATAATTTTTTTATTTAATAATTTTTACATTTATAAATGTAATTTTCTGTTATAATGATGTAAGGAGAATGTAATTTATAAGGAGAGTATAAAATCTATCTCAAGTGTCTCTGTATAAGGGAATACTGTATAAATAAAAATTAGACAATTGTGTGTAATTCAAATTTATATTTTATATTGTTTATAATAATATACAATGTTTAAATTCTAATACATATCTTTTGTACTATAATTACAAATAATTTTATCTAGTCAGTTATGTGTTGCTGGGAACTATGAATATTCCACATGAAACACTTTGTCTTATTTATATCTTATTCAAGCTAGATATTAATTCATGAATAACATAAGACGTACATACAGTAAAACATGAACAACAAGAAACTGTAATGTCATTGATATACTTTAATTGAATAAAAATCATAATTGAAATACAATGTTTGAACACTTGGTCATTTTTAAAAATTTTTATTCTATTCTAAAATTTTTTATTATAGATATTATATAGAAATTGTTATTATATAGAAATATTATATAGAAATTTATATATGTATATATATATAATATATTTATTATTATATAGAAATTTTTATTATAGATATTACACTTTAGATTACATTTTATTTTATTTATTCCTAAATATTAAAAAAAAAAAACAGTATTTATTTTCATAATTGTTACAAGAAGAAAAGAAAAATATTAAACTATCTTAAATAAATGAAGGCCACATTTAAATTTATTATAGATACATTTGCCATGTATCCTGTTTTGTTCGTTTTTTTCTTTGTTGACCTCGGTAATACATAAAAATGAATCGAGGCAATCCTGCTGGTTCTGCCAGTTCGCTAACACGTTTGTATCACGCACTACGCACGCTTTTGATCTGTAATTTACATTAAAAAACAGGACACACCTCTAAAACCAGAATCTAAGCGCTGACGCACGACCAATCACGCTTCGTCATGTAAAACGACGAGCCCCTGTGGAGTAAATGGAAAGTTTTATAAGAATAAAATACTTTTCTACCATCTGTTACAAAATAGTTTTTAAAAAAATAGTCATTTCATAATCGTCATTTATATCGAACAAATATTTTACTATTGCTTTATTTTAGCATAAGTAAAATAAGTCACTCCTTTCCTTCAGTTATTCAAAAAGGCGCGGCAAAATTAACTCCAAGTCGCAAGAACAATAAAAAAACAAATATTTAATTCATCTAACTTTTTTAAATGCGAAAAGAATGTGTAATATCTTTATAGTGGTAGTCTTATGTTATCTATAATTATATTCTATTCTGCACGTTTGTCATGCAAAATTAATACGAGATAGAAGTAATGGGAAACAATAATTATTCGCAACAAAATATCGTTTTGAATTTTACGTTATCAATTGTAATTAATAAAATGTACAAATGTACTTTCAACATATACTTTAAATGCATTGATATAATATCGCGTACCTAAGAGAGAATACTAAGAGAACATTAATGTGTATCTAAAGTGAATTAAATTATATAACTGAAAATAAATAAATTTTTTCAGTATACGGTAATATTTAAAAAAAAAGATAGCCCTGAAATAGTAATTGCGAGACGCGCCTATGAAGAAAATTGCCAGATGATCGTGGATAATCCTGAAAAGTATATTACCAATAATATTATACAACTGATTTACATTTCACAATTTTAAAAGAATGCGACACAAACAGGCCTCCGTGCTCAGCCAATCAGTGATCAGGATATAGACTCGCGCTTATATTTAAGGAAGGTGCGCTTCCGATTAAGAACTATGAAAAAGAAATCATTTACTAGCTCGCTCTAACTTTTCCGCAAGTATTCGATATGGTACGAATGGTTTATAATCTTTTATTAATTTAAGCTTTGCTATAAAAATGTCTATCATTACAAAATTTCATACAAAAGTGACAATTTTTCTAATTACATTATTTTGAAATGTTCTTTAATTTTTATATTCAATCGACAACAATGTAAATGTTTTAATTTTATTTCTTTTTTCAGACTACATACAAAGATAAAGGTCGCAAGGTAATCATTTATTTATTAAACATAAACACTTCAATTAAAAATAGAATATACAACAATTTTTAACACATAATTTTTTATTTCCAGCCCTTAGGTGGAAAATTCGTAAACTTCGATCACCTCAAGTTCTGGGTTGGGAATGCAAAACAGGTAATTAAATTAAAGATAATGGATTTCACGAAACAAGTAAATATTCAGGGTTTATTTCAATGCTTTATATCTTTTTATTTTCTTGTTTTTCGATATTTCTGATTTCTTGTATATTCTCACACAGAAACAAAATCTAATAAATAAATCATTTAATTAGTTGTTTATTTAAGTTTAAATTTATCAAGACTTAAAAAAATGAACAAATCATTACAGTTATATTTCTTTTCATTTTTTATAATTATCATAACATAGCTTTATTAACAACCTCTGAATGTTCAAACATGACAAAATGTTTTACTTCTTATTGCAAATTTATATTTATATTTTAGGCAGCCAGTTATTACTGCGCTAGATTAGGTTTCGAACCTTTGGCTTATCGTGGTTTAGAAACTGGATCCAGGCGCGTGGCATCGCACGTTGTTAAACAAAATCAAGTAAATATTACACAAACGTTCATTATACAAATTTTTATAAAATAATATTTTTCAATTTAACACAGATTAGAACATTTTTGTAACTTTGAATAAAAATTCGCTAGTTCACTTAACACACGATTTTAAGCTTATATTTCCGGAGATTATATTTGCATATTACATTAATTTATTTCTCTAGATATTGATTATATTTTTATATAGATAGATCTTTTTTTTCGGTTTTCTCAGAAGAAATGATAAAAAATTTGTATACGAATATTGTATTACACATTTATCAAATGTTATCAATAAAATTTTGTTAATATATTATATTATTTTAAAAAATTAAGAAAATATTGTTTTTTATTTACAGATCATTTTTGTATTCGAATCAGCCTATGAACCAAATAACGAAGAAATGGCAAGCCATCTTTCCCAACACGGAGACGGTGTTCGTGATATTGCTTTTAACGTTCAGGATATAGACACCATTGTGAAAGTATGTTAAAATTACAATTTCCTGTAAATATATAAATGAAACAATCATAATTTTTTTCTAGATCGCAAAAGAAAGAGGAGCAACAATAGTAAAAGATATATGGGAAGAGAGTGATGAATATGGTACTGTAAAACTTGCTACCGTAAGAACTGTAAGTCCATACAATGAAAGAAAAAATATAACGAGATAAAAAGAATATTTCAATAAAATTTAATTATTTTCTAATTTATCAGTACGGGGATACATATCATACACTAATAGACAGATCCAAATATAAAGGATTCTTTTTGCCAGGATTCCAAACGTTACCGGAAGATCCGCTTTCAAAGACTCTGTATGTAACTTAAATTCCCTGAAATTGTTCTTCAAATAATATTATTAAATTATTTATGTTTCTGATAAATTTATTTTTATTATTTAGACCAAAAGTAGGATTAAGTTTTATCGATCATATTGTTGGTAACCAACCTGACAAACAAATGGAACCTGTTGCGAAATGGTATGCGAATCAATTAAAAATTTAAGAAATTGAAGAAAATCTGTATAACTATGACTTATATGAAATTTATTTATATCAATCGTAGGTACGAACAATGTTTGCAGTTTCATCGATTCTGGTCAGTAGATGATACTCAACTGCACACAGAATATTCAGCTCTGCGTTCCATCGTAATGACGAATTGGGAAGAAACGGTGAAAATGCCTATTAACGAACCTGCTCCTGGCAAGAAACGTTCTCAAATCCAGGAATACGTCGAATATTATGGAGGGGCAGGAGTGCAACACATTGCTCTCAATACAAACAACATAATTACGGCTGTAAATTACATTTTTACCAGTGTCTTTCTTCAATTTGAATAGGATCAGATTCTAAAATTGGAAATTTTTGTTATTTCACAGATACAGAATCTGCGAGCCAGAGGAGTAGAATTTCTGGATGTTCCAGACACTTACTACGATATGTTAAGAAGTCGTTTGAAAAACAATGGTATAAAAATCTTGGAGGATATTAACATACTTCAGGTGGGAATATTAAATAAAAGATCTAGCATAAATTCATTAATATCGATTCTCAAATATATTTTCAGAAATTAAAAATTTTGATCGATTATGATGAAAATGGGTATCTTTTACAAATATTTACCAAAAATATGCAAGATCGTCCGACACTTTTCATAGAAGTCATTCAAAGACGTAATCACAATGTAAATATTACACTGATCATGAATTCACCATGAATCTCCTAAATCGGAACTAAAACAATTAGAATAACTTGACTTCTTCTTATAGGGATTTGGAGCTGGAAACTTCCAAGCATTGTTTGAAGCTATAGAAATGGAACAAGCTAAACGCGGCAATTTGTAACTCTCCAATTCTTAATAATTACGTCAATTGAGATAACATACAATTATATAATGTATAGCAATCTTTTTTTAAAAATCATGCCTCCAATCTCTACTAGATTAAAATTTCTTTATATTGCAAGTTGTAAAATAGAAACTATTATTGTGTTATTAATTCCAAATATTGTATTTTATGGCCAATCTTTGTTCTACAAAAATACACGTAGTATGAGGAGATAAAATATGTAACATACAATTTGAAAAAGTAATAATCATGAAAATCAAATATTATATATATAATGATTTACTATATTACGTTTATTATATTACGTTATATTATATCATAAGCATGTAAGCAACAACAGGTACAGTTAAAAAAAACAAAAACATGAAAATTATTAAACTGTATTTATTTTTAATGCTCTTTTCTTTCTTTTGTGGCCAAGATATAAGCAAATGTTTTTCATATAAAAACTGCAGTATCTAGAAAGAATGGAATAATATGTGATGATAAAGGATATTAAGGAGAAAGTAGCTCACTTATTTTAATCTCTGGGGAGTCCATGGCTCAGATACCTGTCTGCTATTAACTGTGATGAACTCGCAGACATTTTTCTTCATGCACTATCATGAATGCCAAGTCGGAAGATGTCATGCTGACAGAAAAATGAATTCCCCAGTGGCTTCAACACAAAAATCTGTGAGAAGGCATGTGGTGGATCTTCATCTGCCTGTAACAAATTGTAAATATATAACCGTACACTTAGAAAATATATACATTATTATCATATATATAAAATATGTAAAATATAAAACTTTTCACTTTTGTGTTTATATATTTTATATAAAATCAATTTTAATACTAGTATAAAAAAACTGTATCGTGTAAAAATACAAATAAATGAATTATTATCAATGAATTATTAACGTAGTTAATAATCATTAATAATCATGCAAAAACTATGTAAATGTTTTAGAGATTTAATAAAAATAGAAAATGCAATGTAAAGATAAATTCACCATACAATCAAATTTCATATAAAAAAAAAATCATTTCATCTTTTCCCCTGTATTGTTATAAATAATTTTAATTATTATAAAGATTAAATACCATAGAAATTTCACTATTTAAAAGTAATGTATGTAATCAGTGCAATATAAAAAAATAATAAAATATATAATGCAGAATATATATTATTTCATATATTTTAATTATTGTTATATCGATACACAAAATAAATTATTACACGTATTATTAATATGAACTATCGCTAAATGATACATCATTTCTAAAAATAGAAAAAATAAATTTTATTCCTGTCAGTTCAGCAATTTAAGTTTTTTTCCTATCATTATTCTTATTACATAGTTTACTGTAAATATAATTAATTAAATAATGCAAATATAATTAATTAAACATGCAAATATTGAATTAACGAAAGTAACGAAGAAAATTTGGATAAATTCAAATAATCATAACGATAAACTTTAAAATGCAACAGATATTTTTTTTGTATTATATGTTAGTTGGGTGCAAAAATTATTTTTCTTAAATTATTGATTATAATAAGTACAAAAGCAATATTGCAAATAATAAAAAATTAAATTAGAATTAATAATCACAGAGCAAACACACACGAAGCAGCTTTAGATATTACAAAATTAGTATTTGGCTTGCCTGTACCATGGTACGAAGATCAATGGAATAGTAATACCTGACGCCTAAACTGTGTTGTGCAGAGCAAGTCTGAAGATGTCATGCTGCACGTAAAAGCTGGTGCCAATTGGCTTCAGGACAAATGTCTGGATGTATGCATGGGGCTGATCCTCATCAGTCTGCCCAATCATCAACAATCACTGACTGAATTTTCTTATTTCATCTTCTTCGCGGAGGTATATAGAGAGATTGTTGCTGGACATTAGTCATAGCTCAATCTCTATCTTCATATGGCAGCACAAAAAATGTAAGGCAGTACAGTACACATTTGTGTAGCATGTCCAGCCAATAAAATATAATATATGGACGAATAGAAATATAAATATATCGATAAATTTAAAAAAAAATTGGGCCAAATGTATCTTTGTTTAGAAAATGCATTGCACGGAGTATTAAATATATAATAGAAGAAGTTAAATTACTGAACTAATTGGAATAAGATCTCTGCACGTGTCAAATAAAATTCTTTCCTTATATATTTCTGCTATTCATGTATATAAATATATAAATATTGTGATTTTGTATATTTTCACATACAAATCTCTCAACTGTTTGTTTATACTAACAGTTAGGATCATAATATGAAAAAAAAAATTGTTCTCTTTACCTGCAACCTTCCTAAAACATTAATAAGCACGCCACCATCAAACATTGGTTGTGAATCAATAGCAGTTATTATCCGATTTATTTTTTGAAATGTTAAACTCTGAAAATTAAGTATTACCGATCAGTATAATAAAAAGACAATCTATTTTCTCTTAATTTCGCAATTTTTTTTATGAATAATATAACTTTTTACTCTCTATATATGATATATTTGAATAAGCAGTAGCTACGATATAATAATGTTAATATATAGCAACTGTCTTCCTTAAAAAAAACTTACAGTTAATTTTTCCATGATTTTGATAGCACCTTGTATTTGCAAACCTTCAAATGTCATAAAAGATGACTCGGTCTGTAAACGCAAATATCAAGTAAGTACGCAGGAGAACGGCCAGAATAAAGAGATGCGGCCATAAAAGATCACAGAACTTACATTATACATATTTATTAAATTTGGTCTTTGAGCAGGGTCGTCAAACATCGCATAATACTGTTGTACGAAACCCTTTCCGATAACTTCATATTGAGCGTTTAATGCCATTACGCTAACTTATTGTGTCCACACTCACTATTCGGTATCAACAATATCAGTCTTTTCAAATAATCCGATCGGACAAATCGTATTTAAAAAAGGTTCTACGATAAGAGTAAAATAATGCCTATTAACATCCCTCGTGCAAGATACAAGCAAGCAGGAAGCTACTTATGCCGACCAATCATTTCGATGTATCGAGAAAATCATCGGGATTATTCTCGAACTCTCGAAAAGTTTAGATATTTGGCAACGATTGTACTCGTTTTTACAGAAACAATGTTGCCTCTGATTCGTGGCTCGAGGTGAAAACGTGTGAAACTAATTCCCCATTTTTTTGCGAAAATCGCGCAACACGTATTGCAAGGAATCAATAAGAATTTTTACACGGCGGCAATGCAACAGGCAAAATCGGTCCGAACGAAAATTCTCTGTTAAGATGTAATTTTCTTGAACGTCATTCAAACCGCGACGTAGGATTGGTTATTATTAGACGTTGCCGGATATTTAATGACACGACATCTGCAGGTTGAATTTTGAATATTGGACAAGTTGATGATCAAAAGTTAGGTTAACTTCCTTTTTTCCGGTGTGCAAAGCCGTGAGGTCTGTGATGTTTGTCATTTCAGAAATTAATCCAAAAACATCGGAAAATAGAGAAATAATTTGTTTGTACTTATAATATTGCTTTCAATAACAATTGTTCCGGTATTTTTGGAATAGTTGTCATTTCTTTGATTTTAGAACTTTCATAACAGATTCTCAAGTATGTTAATAAACATTTGTAACTTTGTTTATATTAAAGTGAAAGATTGGAATTAGATCTTCGTGTACTTTAAGAAACATTCATTGTACATAAATTTATATATTAAAAGTGTTATAAATATTGATTTCTTGTGTTGTAAAAAAGGTTATGTGGTGTGTGTTTACAATTGATAACGTATTCCAAATCTTAAAAGGATCTTGCTAAAAAAAAGTTAACAATTAAATTAAAATAAGTTATTATGTATAAACTTAAGAATATTCTTCTTTCTTGACTAATGAAGTAATTTTCTTAATTTCTTCTTATAGACATCTTCAAGATGGTGAAGATTATGAAAACAGGTAAAGTCGTATTGGTCCTTAGTGGCCGATATGCAGGAAGAAAAGCTATCATTATGCGGAATTATGATGATGGAACTACAGAAAAACAATATGGACATGCAATGGTAGCAGGTATTGACAGATATCCACGTAAAGTTCATAAAAGAATGGGCAAAGCAAAAATTCATAAACGATCCAAGATCAAGCCATTTGTAAAAGTGAGTTTTTAAAATGATTATTTGAAAGTTGTAAGAAGATTACTAACATATGCAATCGTCTAATTTTTATAATCTTTTTTCATAGATTTGTATAATTTTTTTTTATTTTAGCTATACCCTAATATATAATAGTGCAAATTTTGTTTATATTAATTGCAGGTACTGAATTATAATCATTTGATGCCAACAAGATATACTGTAGATTTACATTGGGATAAAGTAACACCTAAAGATCTTAAAGATCCAATGAAACGTAAAAAGATTCGATTTCAAACACGTGTTAAATTTGAAGAAAAGTATGTATATCTAAATTTATTGCAAATATTCCTTTAATAACTATTTAATAAATAGACCAGTGATATTATTTATTTTTAGGTATAAATCTGGTAAAAATAAATGGTTCTTCCAAAAACTGCGATTTTAATTAAATTTAAATAAATATACAATTTACAAGTATTCCAAGTGTAGTATTTATATCTATTTTCCTATTCCAAAATAAAAAAGAAACAACTTTTTATAGATATACTTGAAAAGCATGATTCTATTTTATTTTTAATGTTTATACATTAATGAATTTTTTTCTACAAGGATACAACACATATTTTTTAAAATATTATATTTAAAAAACCAAAAGTTATATAAAAAATATTTTAAAAATAATACATGATAAGGTACATTAAATCATGAATAAGTTAAAAATATATTTAGAGAATATTAGTAAATAATATAATTTAATAAATATATATTAAACAAATTGAATCATCATAATCTGTATCGAAAATTTCAACCATATTCTTAAATCATCACTTGTTAAGCTTTTTAATACGTTCATCTAATGATTCTATGTTGTTTTTTATAATTTCTAAATTTGATGCAAAGCTCTCTTGTACTCCTTTTAAAAGAGATTTATTACTGTCCAAGTCAGATGTTATTTGTGATTGCAATTCCTCTAAACGTGTTAGAGATTTGTTGAATGTAGCAGCTAAAAGATACATCAAAAAATTGTATTTGTTAAAAGGAAAACGTTACGAATATATTTAGATACATACCTTGTTGGTGAATAGTATTTAAAGCCAACATTCGATTTACCGTTTGTGGTAAAATTTGTGTCATAGTTTCCGTCTGTTTCATAATATCATACATTTCCGAAATCTAAAATCGAAATTTAGATCAAATAGTTCTTTAGTTATTTTCAATTGTTAATGTTGAATTTTTATAAATAAATTCATTTAAATATTTACAAGAAAATATATACTTTTTGCTCTTGTTCTGAATCTAATGTTAATGCAGCCTTCTTTTGTGCAATATTATCCATTCTATGAATTAATGTAGCTAATCGGCTTTCAATTATATCTAGTTGGTATGTATCTAATAATGCAGCTTTTGCTCCTAATTCTTGGAGAGCTTCCATTACACCTTGTCCTTTAAGATTCTACAAAAAAAAAAGAATATATTACTTATATACACTTATATATGATTGAAATGCGATTAAGTATTATAATTATATGATGTGAAAATTACATACCTGTGAAAATTTTGAAAGCTTATCACTTGTTGTTCCTATTACACTTTCTAAATTACAAAGCCTTTGTTCAAGTAATGCAATCCTCGCTGCTTCCTGCATTCTTGCTTTTTCTGGAAGATACATCATCTGATACTTGAGTACACCAGGTTCTGTTGTTTTATCATCTTTTGCATTCTGTGCCTTTGAATCAGTTTCAGATGTGAGAATACTAGTCTGCTTGAATGCTTCTATTTGCGATATCAGTTGTCTAAAATATTCATTAGTAAAAGAAACATTTCCACTTTAAACACTTTCTTGCAATACAAGTGAACTTACTTCATTCTTGTGCCTTGCGGATCCGAGAGACTTGCGACAAGATCAGCTCCAAGACATTCTTCTAATTTCAAGGAATCTAATTGCTTTCCTAAGAGTTGCACTTGAGAAATTATATCAGCAACAGATTTCACTTCTTCCTCTTTTGACTTTTCCTACATAACAAATGGATACGATGAAATATTCATTTACATCTATGTTTTCAACGATATGTCACATCGTGGGGCAAATTTTAAAAATTAATATTAATAAAAATATTCAAATATTAATAAACATATCGATACCTTTAGATCATTTATTTCTTCGTACAATTCTTTAATCTCACATTGCAAGCGTTGGTACTTTTGAATGGGAGTTTCTTTCTCATCTTCTCCAGGTAATTCCCAATCTCCAAATCTAAAATTTTAATATATATTCAATAAGCATTTCTTATCTTACATTTTCTCGTTTAAATTAACTTACTTATAGCCAGTTCTTGGTTTGAGTGATACCCGATCAGAGAAGTCAACTTCTTTGTTGAGGAGATGTTTACTTTTAAATTTATTGAATGCCTCAGTGGCACTAATATGCAATTTCTCTATAGAATCTGTCTCATCCTAGAAAAAGAAATAAACATTTAAATACTACTACTAAATAAAATACTAAGAAAAAGAAATAAACATTTAAATACTACTACTAAATAAAATACTAAGCGATTTTTAATATCATACCTCGGGGTAAAGTTGAAACTGTTCCGACTCTGGCAAATCGGTAGTCTCATAAACGTCAACTTGATCATACGCCTACAGATACGTCAAAATGTACAAAATTATATGGCATGAATTTTCATTCTATTTTACACTCTATTTTACACTTCAATTTCTACGATGTTTAATAACAAAACCGCACTGACATAATTTTATCGTGAAATATAAAGTACTTACGATTCCAGGTAAATCGGCATACTTAGGATCAGCCATATTTCGTGATTAAATTAGAAATATTCTGCAATTCTTCAGTTATTTCTCGAAATACGAGAAACCCTTTCTTTTAATAGTGATTAACAACAAAATATCACTGTAAAGCATCAAAATTTTAAGTGGATATATTATCGTTGATCATACACAAGCATCGACTAAGGACAGGGTAGACCTGTCACTGGACGCTGATACCACGTAGCGATAAAACGACGAAATAATCACTATTGCTGTCGTTGTTGCACAATACTGTGCTCTATTATGTGACATACATCTATTCTTGTCGCACACTAGTGTTCCTTATCAAGAAACTCCTAAACAAGACTAGTATTGCCATCTATCGAAGAAGGCTAGAACTACCTTGTAGGAATGTAGGTACGATGATCGATAAATAATAAAGTCACCATACTACAAAGGAAAATTTTATAATATATTTTAACGTTTACATGATACAGAATTTAATGGATGAATTACGACTGACGACTGTTTATTAATTTCTTATTTACTATTATATATATTCTCGGCAATTTGTTTGTAATCAATAATTTGTTGTATCTCCATGGTAACTTTTTATAAGACTGAATAGATGTCGCTACAGATATGTAGCGACATCTATTCCAGTGACATCTATTTCTCAACCATCTCGTCGAAGAGTTCATTTCAGATAAATTTACGGCGCCAACTTTGCGAAACTTTAAAATATGTAAAAATCAATATTTTAACAAAATTACTAAGGAGATGTTTGTAAATAATTGTCAAGGATACATAACAAATTAGCGAAGATATAAATAGTAGTTGTAAAAGATGTAACTACATTGTATATTGTACATTCTACATTATATAGTCTAAAGTCTAGAGTCTAAAGTTATTATCAATTAAAAGTGTATAAATAATTAATTAATTAATTTTTATTATTCAGTTAATTATTGTTAAGAAATAGTTATTAAAAAAAAATAATAATAATAAAGTGATTGAAATTCCATAAAGTAATTTTCGTAATTACTTTAAAGGCTTAACGGTACTACCCCAGAGACTAACGATATGCGTCCTTCACATTACGTTTATACGTTTATTGAACCTGCTTGTAGAAAGCCCGAGGAATCTGCCTACATAATGATTTTTTGGATGATCTTTCAAAAGATCCCATAAAAATTAATAAATTATGAAATTGTAAAATAAAAATTGACGTCTAATTTTTGAACAGAAGAGATTTATGAATAGAATATTAGAAAGATTTAACTTTAATGAAACGCAAAAAATTTTAATTTTATACGATGCTTTTCTTGTAAAGTATAATAAAATGTATGAAAACTAGATTATGCAAAGTTTTAGAATAATTTAAATGAATTGTAATAATTTAAATACATCTAGTGTTTCATTATGTATAGATAGAAAGAGACGAGCATAATCAAACGATCATGTCGTTACAATTCTTCGTGTGTAATTGAAGACGATGACCTCTCTGACGGGAAGCCCCAAAATAATGTGGGATATCCTTTGATTTCTCTTTCTCTTGCCACAAAAGCTGAGAAAGAAGATATACAATTTCCTACGAAATAATTTGCTCTTCCAAGAATAGCTAAATCCAAATGAGGTGATGCAGGTGAATCCTGTTTAAAAACTGGAATCTGTAACACGTATTGGACGTTTGCAAAACTTTTCTTAATATTCATATTTTATGTATATATATATTTTATATTGTTATCGTTATTTTATGTATATACATATTTTTATATTGTTATCTTTCTTACTTCCATTCGTGCTAAGGCTTTAGTAAGTTCTTTGATCATATAGTTATTGTCAGATGCTACGAATACCGATTTGATGTCATTACCATTGCGAATAACTCGCTTTAGATGACGTACTATCAAATTAAAAGATGGTAAACACATAGCAGAAGTTGCTTTCCCACGTTCGTTCCGATATCCAAGGCATTGTGGAGCAGCGAAAAGATTTGGTGTGCTCGATATAAATTCACAAGCACGAACCTATCGTAAAATTAAAAATTAAAATTTGCTATATTGAAGTGAATAATTTGAAAATCTGGAAAAGATCTAAATACATACCCAATCAATTCCATTGCGTAAATGAATTCCTACAAATGCTCCTCTTGGTAATTTTTGTTTTATAAATGTTGCTGCTTTGTTAAACATGTCTGTATTCCACTCGACATATTTGTGTAACTTTTTATTTTCCAATTGTACAGGAAAACTAGCAGGGGCACCTGTAAATGCTAACACTGGCCAATGTAACGCAAGATACTGTCTCTTCCATTGCATTTCCATATCTGTATGATAAACATCATAGTGAAGAGGACCATAAAATTCTGATTTTACAAAATCTATGTTATACGTATCCCAAAATGGGCCAAATGGATTTCCATCTTTAGCATTGCATGAATTTCCTTTACCGCGTGCAGAGTAGCAAAATGCTATAGAAAAAAGTAATATGTTTCAAAGAAATGTTTTGTTTTTAAACTTGACATCCAAAACTTACATATTCTTTCCTTAGGTTGCCATACTTTTGGTGCAACGTCTTGCATAAAATCCTCCATTAATAATGCTTTATGATAGCTTTGAATTTTCGAAACATTAAAGTATTTATCAAACGGGACTTGTATCTGGAAAGTAAAGAATGATAAACTGTTCATATTTTATAAAAGATTAATTTGTTTACAAACAGATCTAGCTTCTCCGGTTCTATATTCAACCCATGGTGGTATAATTAAAGTACGATTTAGTGCTTTTGCAAATCCCAAAGCACCTAAAAAGTGATCTGCTTGATTTCCAAATCGTCCTAAAAGAAATTAATCAAATTGATGATTTTAATAAGTTGATTCGTTCTAAAATATTTATATAATTATATGTAAAAATCTTTAAAAATTACCCATACAAGGACAGTAAACAATATATCCATTGGTATCAATGTCTTCACAATATGTGCTATAAAATCTAGTTAGTAGCAGAATAAAAATAATACTAAACATTATAATTGACTTTTTTTTATCTATCTTATTTCATTACAAATATAATAAAGAATACACGATTTTTAATCTAAATTATCTCGGTTTTATACATTACTATGGATACGTACATTGATTACTATGTACATAGAAATGTTTTTAAAGGCAAGTAATGAAAATAGGGACATTTTACATTTTCCCCTATTATGGGGAAATGTAATTTATCATATGTTCTCTCACGTGATAAATTGTCTTTTTTTTTTATAAAATTTGAAATTAATCATATACATGCTTTAGGACCTTTTTTTATTATTGCAAAGTTACATACAAAGTAATAAAATTAATTATTTAAAAATTTAGAAATATTTTAAAGAGCGCTAGAATCGATATTAAATGTTGCAGAGACGAGTATATCTCTGGTGGGCGGGCAAGTTTCAATTAAAGCAATATGAATCATGATACATATTTGGAAGTACAATGAAAGCAGGTATATATTTTTTTCACGAATCAAAATCTAATAAAAATTTATAAATCTTACAGTGCACCTTGAGTTTAAATATTAAAAATTGTTTTTCTGCAAGATTAACAATTTTGACTTGTACTTTTTTGCCTGTCCACTAAAGATGTGAAAGGGAAAAATTCAACGAAGAAACATTTAAAACTCAAGAGAGAATATTTAATTTATAATAATTTTATTATCTTAATAATTTTTTATCATAATAATCTTATATTTATAAAATGTTACAAAAAAACGCTATAAACCCATTAATATAGTATTAGCAGTAACAGGAATTTGTGAGGGTGCGCTA